CCTATTGGGAAGTAATTCATTCCAAATTCAGGCCGACAAGCAGTATGGGCCACAGCCAGGGAGCCCGCATTAGAGAAATGGGTTGACATTCAGACCCATGTCCATTCATTACTCAATAGGGAAATCTACCCAAACCTCAGGTACCAAGCAGTAGTAGGTTAATCCAAGGGAGAAAAAAAAGTGAAGTGTGCATTTACTGAAATCTACATGGAATATTAGGAGCTTGGGGCATCACAGCATATAGCTGGCAGCTTCAGGAGTGACCAGTGCAGGAGCCAGGCAGCAGGCAACAGTAGGGCCTTTAGCAATGTTGAGCCCCAGAGCCCATGAATCAGTGCTCACTATTCTCATCATCAGCCACCAGTGGTGGGACTCAGACTGGGTGGGCAGCAGCTGTGAGGTCCTTTAGATAGGACCTGTTTCTATCAGCAGGAATAGGAGGCATCACTATGGAGCCCTGGGAAATGACAGGCATTATTCAGTAGCCAAGGGAACTGCTGGGAGGAGTTTGAAAAGCACTGAAGTCTCCACCATGTGGAATGCTGAAAAGTCCTAGAAATACTGGGTTCCAGGTATAATCTGTGAGAGAAGAGCCATAAGGAGTCTTGGGTGCTAGTCTAGAAACCACAGCTTGCTATGAGTATGACTAGGGCAATTCATTGAATTTCTCTGACTCTTTGTTTTCCCTTCTGAAAGTAAGAGACTTGGGATACATGATTTGCATGGCCTCTTCTAACTGATATTGTATTATCTGATTATTATCTGAATGTTGTTATATGATCTCAAGCCAGGCTTTACATTTATGCCAGGTTTTGTATAAAGTCTTTATTCTTTAATTAATTAATTAGAGAGAGTCTCACTTTGTTAACCAAGTCGGAGTATAGTGACGCTGTCAGAGCTTACGGCAGTCCCGAATTCCTGGGCTCAAGCAATTCTCCTGTCTCAGCCTCCTGAGTAGCCAGAACTACAGACGTGCACACAATGCTCAGATAATTTTTTAATTTTTTTGTAGAGATAGGAACTTACATATTTCCCAGGCTGTTCTCAAACTCCTGCACTCCATCAGTCCTCCCTTCTTGGCCTCGTAAAGCACTGGGATTATAAATGTGAGCCACCATGACCAGCCGGTCTCTCTGGGTCTTTGTTTCCCTATCTGAAAATAAGAGAATTGAGATGTTTGATTCACAAGACCTTTTTGAACTGAAATTATATTATCTGAATGTTGTGATATGCTCTCAAGCCAGGCTTTAAATTCATGCCAGGTTTTGGTTATGTAAAGCCAATAGTCTTAAACCATCCTTTAAAAAACAAACAAACAACAAAAAAGGGGCAGTTTCTCATTTCTTTCCAAGCATAAATATTAGCTTAAGCATTAAGATAGACAAGGTCTTTGGCATGAGGGCATTGTATAACTGGATTATTTCATGCAGTCTTACGTGAGAAATTTAGTAAGAAGTTACTTTTCATCAGCGTTATCTGTATTTAGCATTTAAGCAGATTAAACGAAAGTGGGGACCTTTAGACTAAATGACAAAAATGGTTTCACATAATAATAGCAGGGTGCTTTTTGCATTCATGATCTCTGTTTGAACATGTTAAATTCAAGATACCAGATAGATGTCTGTATGGAGACCTTAATTCAGTGCTTGGACGTAGTCTCTCTGGACATAAAACTTAGTTGTTTCTAAGCATTCATTCAGTATTTAATCTCACCAAGATAACATGTGTCTTTCATAAATGTAGGGAGGAGATCAGGAAAGCAGAAAGTGTCTTGAGGCTCATAACATTTAAAGTACAGACTGGACAATGGAGACTCAGAAGTGGTGCCAAGCCAGTAAATATATTTAGTCATTGTTTGATTGTTTTTTTGAGTATTTTGCATAAAGTTAGCCTAACATTTGTTTAAATCATTAAATTGATGGTCATATAACTGCACATGCAAATGTGTGCGTCTATCTTCTCTTTAAAAATTGGAAGCTGCTACAGGGTTGACATTCTTTAGGAGGGGTGCAAGCTCTCTGCTGACAAAGGCCCCTCCCCATATTGATGGCTAAACCTAGGCCATTTCCCATCTCCTATCCAGCCTCTGTAATTATGTGGGGTTGTGATCCTGATTCTGAGGTTCATGAATGAGGAAAAACCAGCAAATAGAGACTCTGCAGAAAGAGGAACACAACAGGAAACTCAGGGAGGGTGTTCAAAGAGGAGTGCATTCCTGATTGAGGGAATGGCTCACTCTGACCAGTGTTGCTGTAAGGCCAGGAAAGAGGTTCTGCCACACCTTGTGCACTGGCCTTCATGCCCAGTTTCCTCAGTGACTCTGGGGGAGCTGTTCGCATGCAGCAAGGCTGGTGTGAGTGCAAGAGCAGATGCAGAGTGAGGTCAAGTCCAATGCCAGTTCACACGCTGAAGGACCATCAGTGTTCCAGATACACAGCAATGAGAGTCAGGTGTCAGGAAAGAACAGATAGGTCAACTAAAAGCCCAGACTCCACCACTACATATGCATGTAAGACATCTGCACTGTACCCCCTAAATCTATAAACGTTTTTTAAAAGTAAAAGTAAATAAAATTAGGCAGAGCATGGTGGCTCATGCCTATAATTCCAGTGCTTTGAGAGGCCAAGGCAGGAGGATCACTTGAGCCCAGGAGTTTGAGACCAGCCTGGGCAACATAGAGATATCCTATCTCCTCAATAAAAATTGAAAAAAAAGAATTAGTCAGGCCAGGTGGTGCTCACCATCATTTCAACTACTCAGGAGGCTGACGTGTGAGGATCACTTGAGCCCAAAAGTTCGAGACCAGCTTGCACAACATAGTAATACCCTCATCTTTAATAATAAAATATTACCCAGGCATGGCACTGTGCACCTGTAATTCTAGCTGCTCAGTAGGCTGAGATGGGAGAATCATTTGAGCCCAGGAGTTGGAGGCTGCAGTGAGTTATAATCACACCACTGCACTCCAACCTGAGCAACAGAGCCAGAACCCTATCTCAATTTCTTTAAAATAAAAATAAAATTACTTAATGGAACAAAAAAGATTGTTCAATTTCTTTCACTTTACAGTTAAGAAAACTAAGATTTAGAGAACTGATATGATTAACACCTATCCCCGACCTCCGACCTAAAATAAAGGTCATAAAATTTCTCCCCAGGCCAATGAGAAAAATAAAGTATAAAAAATTTCTCCCCGGGCAGATGAGAAACAGAAAGAGAAAGTAATGAGTTCTGTCTCCTGATATCAAAGTCAGAGCCACAGAGACTTGGCTCTGGAAGTATTTGAGAGTAAGAACCTGGCTTAGGGCTATGAACCAGGGGCTGGGAGAGGTGTTGCCTACCACTGCTGGTGGGAAGACTAGAAGGACATTGATATTGAGTAAGTAAGACCTGGGGCTACCACACTGCACACGTACCTGCCACCTTCCAGGAAACCAAGCCAGGCCACTCTCTGCTGGGAAACCTGTTGTGCAACCTCCTCATATTTGCTGCCAACATAAGCTCCGGTTCTAAATGGAGAACCTGTTGCAGGGTGGGGCTGCAAAACCGCAGGAGTGAGAAGAGAGGCAAACAGCAAAATGAAATAGCAAGCCCACATCCTCCTCAACAAGAGGGGGTCTAACTCAAAGGAAGACAGGCTGGTGGAACACATACACAGACCTCCATACAAGAAAGGCATCATGTATGTGTTCAAGCCACCATTCTCCCTAAAGATGCCTTCACCTGTTATTCTCACAAGGAATGAAATGCAGTGAGGTGAAAGCATGTTGGGATGGAAGACATGGGCAATGGATATTCTCTTCCTTCTGTATTCCAACAGAAAGAGCTGCCCCAGGCCATTGGCCCTGTGCACTTTGAATTTTGAAAGGTTTCTATGTTTCACTTAAAAAGCTACTAAACTGGAACAGGCACTATGGTTCAGGCCTGTAATCTTAGCACTTTGCCAGGCTGAGGCAGGAGGACGTTTGAGCCTGGAAGTTAGAGACCAGCCTGGGCAACATAGCAAGACCTTATCTCTACAAAAAATATAAAGATTAGCTGAGTGTGATGGCACATGCCTATAATCCCAGGTACTTGGCTGGTTGAGGCAGGAGGATCACTTGAGTCCAGGACTTCAAGGTTACAGTGAGCTAAGATCATACCACCTCACCCCAGCCTGGACAACAGAGCAAAACCTTATCTCAAAAATAACTACTAAACCAAAACTCATGATTAATTTTAGAAAGGATAAAGCATTGAAAATGGGAACTTCACAAAACACCTGTCTTTCTAACCCTCAAAGACAGAAGGTTTCGCTTATGACAGAGCCTACTTTCATTAAAGAGATCACGGGAAGTGATTATGTTATTATTTTTCTAAAGAGCGCCTCTGTTTTGGTCAAGGGAGAAAGGAGAGGCCATGACTAATCGTGGAGAAGGAAATGTGTGTGTATTAGTTCGTTTTCATGCTGCTGATAAAGACATACCCGAAACTGGGCAATTTCCAAAAGAAAGAGGTTTAATGGACTTAACATTTCCATTTGGCTGGGAGGCCTCACAATTATGGCAGAAAGCAAGGAGGATCAAGTCACATCTTACATGGATGGCCTCAGGCAAAGAGAGCTTGTGCAGGGAAACTCCTTCTTATACAACCATCAGAGCTGTTGAGACTTATTCACTATCACGAGAACAGCATGGGAAAGACCTGCATCCATGATTCAATTACCTCCCGCCAGGTCCTTCCCACAACCTGTGGGAATTCAGGATGAGATTTGGGTAGGGATATAGCCAAACCACATCGATGTGGCTTGGAAACAAGCACTTGGGAAAGAGAGGATAACATTCTTTGTCTAGGAACCTCTTAGACAAGTGTCTTTCAAGCACATATTGTATGGCAAAGGCGAGTTTTAAGAATGACTGCTCCAGAAATGTGCAAGGAGGGATGGGGGTCTGAAAGGAGGAGAGTCACAGCCAACCATGAGCCAGCATCCTTCAGTTCCTTTTTGTGTCCTTTTCCTTTACAGGAAGATGAAGATCCCTTTCCTCCTACTGTTCTTTCTGTGGGAAGCTGAGAGCCACGCAGCATCAAGGCCGAACATCATCCTGGTGATGGCTGACGACCTTGGCATTGGAGATCCTGGGTGCTATGGAAACAAGACTCTCAGGTTGGTAATGCAGCTCCTCAGTAAACACATGGCTGTGTTCATAGGCAACAGTCTGCAGGATGGTTATTGTTCATCTGCAGAGCACAGAACATGTTTAGAAACATCCAAAACCCTCCAAACCATGGCTGGCTTCATGTAGATACACTGAGATGTGTATGTGTCATGGAGATACATGTAAGTTTATCTGTTTGACTATGAACAGTGAGCTGGATGAGCTCAGGGAGATCATTAAGAAGGTGTGCAACACAGTTCTACTTTATTGACGGTTGTGATGCTGCTTTGCACACATTCACATCTCTATCCCATTTGTTCACCTTTTGGCATCTGGCTTTATTCTGATTGGTTATGGGTCTGTACTACTCTGTCCTGGCCCATCAGTGACTTACTCTCATTCTCACTCATGCCCAATTCTCCCTCTTCTAGCCCAGGCCCTACTCTGTCATCTGCTATGCAGGCTGTCTTAGTCTGTAAAGGCTGCTATGACAAAATGCCATAGGCTAGGTGGCTTATAAACAATAGAAATGTATTGCTCACAGTTCTGAAGGCTGGAAGTCAAATATCAAGGCATAGCTGATTCAGTGTCTGGTGAGGACCTGCTTCCTGGTTCACAGACAGCACCTTCTCACTGTGTCTTCACATGGTGGAAGGGATGAGGGAGCTCTCTGGGGTCCCTATTATAAGGTCATAAATCCCATTTACATGGCTTCATCCCCATGACCTCATCACCTCCCAAAGGCCCCACCTCCTAACAAATCCCATTAAGAGTGAACATTTCAACATCTGAATTTTGGAGGGACACAAACATTGAGACCATAGCTGACAATCATGAGGAGAGAGGTCACATTTTAGGACCTCATAACTTGCCAGTAATTATCAAAACAGTAGCAACAACACCATCAAACTAGACTTGAGGTCATTTGACCCTTGGATCTGAACATCCTCCCAGAAGATGGTGTTTTATTTCTAAGCCCTTTGCGTAAAATCAACTTAACGTGAGATCTATTTTAAGGGCCCTTTAGTTTAAAAAGTAAAGTAAGCCCTTGAGGAGTAGAATACTGACATTAGAATTTTACTTTCTCTTCCTAAAAATGTGGAAATGATGACATAAAAACAGTTCTATGGAGTGCTTCATCACATGAAAGATCAGTACAAACTGAATTAAAGGAGAGGACGAGGAAAGAGATTATTTGCTTCTACCAGAACTTTTTTTTTTTTTTTTTTGAGAAGGAGTCTCACTCTGTCACCCAGTGTGGAGTGCAGTGGCGCAGTGTCAGCTCACTGCAACCTCTGCCTCCTGGGTTCAAGTGATTCTCCTGCTTCCGCCTTGTGACTAGCTGGGGCTACAGCTGCATGCCACCATGCCTGGCTAATTTTTTGTATTTTTAGTAGAGACAGGGTTTCACTATGTTGGCCAGGCTGGTCTCAAACTCCTGACCTTGTGATCCGCCCACCTCAGCCTCCCAAAGTGCTGGGATTACAGGCATAAGCCAACGTGCCGGCCCAGAACTTTCTTCACTTGATCTTAGCCAAAAGGCCGAGAAGCAATCCAGAACTTTCTTGTGGGATATGTGGATACTAAATACCTGAAGCCAGGAGTGGACCCATTGCCAAGTGCCATGGGATGCTGATTTTTTTTTTCATGCCATTCTCTTATTCCTCGTCTTCTTTTCAGCATGAGAAATCTTAGAAAGTGTATTTCATCATTACATATCAGACCAAACAAAAATTAAATAAATTATTATATTAAGGAAAGTCTTGTCCATAAGACATATCCAAATGTGTCTCACTTTCAGCCTGAAACTTTGCATCAAATGTTGCTTTTTATTTTTTTATGGGTATATTGACCTATGACATTGCTTAAATTTTTAAAAAGCATATGCAAGGATAAGATCTGCAATTTTAAGAGATCACTTATATATAGATCTTATTTTAGTTATATCAGCATCATAATTTTATTCAGCTTTTTCATTTTATCTATTTCTTTAATATTATGTATTCCTAAGGTATGTGGAGATAATAGATAACTGTTGCTACCAAGATGTCTTAATTAAAAAGTTAAAATCAAGCCGTTAAGGTTAAATCTTTACCAATTACCAAAAGAAAAAATGTCTATAAAGCCCCATGGATGAATTTCTGGCAATATCTACCCTAGATCTGCCTTGGTCTCTATATTAGAGTCCCATTATTTCTGAATTGCATTTCTCATTTTTATATTTTGTAATATCACACCCCAAAATAGTTACATTTTTTTGAAGGCCAATATAGACACTAGGAGGCTTAATTCAAATGCAAAGACAATCTCTGTCTTCTAAGCATCTCACCCTTTAAGGAAAAAGCAAAGTAGAAATATTGGTAATTAAACATGTTCACGAAGTTAATATATGGCCACCAGTATGACATTACAGATGCAATGAAATTATTTCCCCCTTCAAGCTATGCATCATTGCAGCACCACTCTGTGAGGGCATTGGTCTAGGGAAGCCATGGGTCCAATGAACAAGATGTATACTCCCACCCCACAGGCAGCCATCTTGAAAGGGAGCACAATTAGCCATGTGATTGCTTTACAGTGAGGAAGCTGCTGGGATGATGGAGTATAGACTACTGTCCTAAATATAGGTCATTCCCCTTGGGTAATCAAGGAAGGGCACTGGAGGCCCATGAGAATTCCATCTGTACCTGGAACTGAAGGATGGCAGATGACGAGCCAGGAAAGGAAGAAGGGACCTGGATTCCTGGTGGAGGACATGGTATATAACTCGTGGGGTATAGCTTGGTATGGTCCAAAAACTAAAAGTTATTAATTCCCAAATGACTTCCCCAAATGATCAGCCAATCCATTCATGGAGAAAAGGCATCAGGGTGGCTTATCTTGCAAAAGGTATCACTCTACAAGTGAGCTCATAAATAAGTATTTATGAAGCATAAAAAATAAAAGCCAACAAAGGGTATGTGGGAATTGCAGCATCTAATTTCTTCACTGTAGTGTTTGTGCCTTTTCCCTGGAGCATATTAACCTATTTGTTGATGCTCACTGGTTGAGTCATATGGAGTCTCATTATTCCCCGTCCCTGGGGGCATGCAGAAATTAGTCAGGGGCTCATTAGAGCTCGTTGTGGGATTCCCTTTGGCTGTGATTGGGAAGAGGGGAGTCAGACTGACCCTGGAAATTTCTCTTTTGGTGACATAGAGGTAACTTGGGAGATGTGAATGGGAGAAGAGTAAAGCCTCATCCTCACCCACCCCTTACCTTTCCTCCCTGCATTATCCCATTTTGAAGACTTGATTTCTCTCTTCTAACTCAGGGCTAGTGGGACCAGGAGCTCAGAGCCCTCTGTAGCATGAATGGACCTTCTGGGGATGTCCCGCCTGCATCGTTCACACATCTCCATGGTTTTGTTGTAGTTTGAGTCTTGGTTCTGTATCACTTCCCCCCCAACCCCCGCCGCCTCTCATCTCACCTCTCTCTCCTACATAACCCCAGACTTGTCCTTGCTCATTGAGAAGTTTCCCACTATAAAGAGCCACAGACACAGTTTCATTTTGAAAATTATCACAGGGCTGGGTGGCTCATGCCTGTAATCCCAGCACTTTGGGAGGCTGAGGTGGGCAGATTACTTGAGGTCAGGGGTTTGAGACCAGCCTGGCCAACATGGTGACACCCTGCCTCTACCAGATACTACAATAATTAGCCAGACATGGTGGCCCGTGCCTGTAGTCCCAACTACTCACAAGGCTGAGATGGGAAAATCACTTGAATGTGGGAGGTGGAGGTTACAGTGAGCCAAGATCACGCCACTGTACTCCAGCCTGGGTGACAGAGTGAGATCCTGTCTCAAAAATAAATGAATGAACAAGAAATGAAAATGATCACAAATGCTATGATTATTTTGTTCTAGGACTCCCAATATCGACCGGTTGGCCAGTGAGGGAGTGAAACTCACTCAGCACCTGGCAGCATCACCCCTGTGCACACCAAGCAGGGCAGCCTTCATGACTGGCCGGTACCCTGTCCGATCAGGTAACCTCCTATCTGCATTGCAGGGGCTGTGGTCTCCTTTGGAACAGCCTCCCACCTCCAGGTATCTCCTGTTTCCTAAGGGTTGATTTTTTTCCTGGTTCAGGAATGGCGTCTCACTCCCTCCCTGGAGTTTTCCTCTTCACGGCCTCTTCAGGAGGACTTCCCACCAATGAGATTACCTTTGCCACGCTTCTGAAGGATCAAGGTTATTCAACAGCACTGATAGGTATGGGCATCTGAGGAATGACAGGGAGGACTTGGACATAGTTAGCTAAAGAGTGGGAGAGGGCATCATGACAGTTATCTTAGGAATGACATTGCTGGTACACTTTGTACAACTTTAAATGGGAGCAAAATGATGTCAGTTGTAGGTTAAAACACAGTAAGCCTATCTGGACTACTCGAATGCATTAGGGGCGTGTGTGTGTGTGTGTGTGTGTGTGTGTGTGTGTGTGTGTGTGGTGTGTGTGTGTGTGTGTGTGTGTATAGATAAATAGATACTTAGATGATACCTAATGATAGATGAATGAATGGGTGGATGGATGAATGGATAGATACATAATAGGTAGAGAAATAGGTAGATAGATAGATGATAGATAGATAGATGCAGAGAGAGACAAAGATGAGATAGATTGGATGGATGGATGGATGGATGAAATAGATGATAGCTAACTAGATAGATAGATAAATAGAAAAATTAGATAGTTACATAGATAGATACATAGAAAAATTAGATAGATAGATATGGATAAATAGATGCAGGGAGAGAGACAAAGATGATACAGACAGTATGTATGTATGTATGTATGTATGTATGTGTAGATATATAGATAGATAATGAGACAATTAGATGAAATAGATGATAGATGGAACAGATGAAAGATTCATAGAACATATACATAGAACATACAAAACAATACACACCATGCTATTGATAAAGATTTTCATTTTACTTTCCAATACTAAAATTATGTCAGAATTTGTCTTGGTGGACACACCCATTTGATTTTACTCTGTAGATAGGATTAATGCCTTCCTGTTTGCACGAAGAGCTTGAATCTAAGCAGGTCATAAAATGAATCCTAGCAAACCTCAGAGGAGCAAAATGACCCTTCTCATTCTTCCAACATCTTGTTAAAAAAACTATCATTTTTTCTTTTGTAAGGCACTCATTAATTTAGTGATCTAATTAACATTTTATAAGAAATTTCAGAGGTGCTTAAAATAATTGCTGAGTTACTGAATGTGATTTCCTCATGCCTCAGGGGTAGGTTCTGAAGGAAGGATTCATTTCCACTTTTAACATACAAGGAACAAAATTAAGTTGCTTCTAAAACTTTAATTTTAAGGGCATGTCTCAGAAAAGCATCTGGCAAGGAAAAAGAAAAAAAAAATTTGTATTTTTCTGTGGAGTGTTGTTTCCTGCCTATTAAATATGTTAGGTAATTTTCTTTTTGGATTTTTATTTGGTTGGGTTTTTTTGTGTTTTTGTTTTGTTTTGTTGGAATCACTAAAGTAGTTCTTATTTTTTGGTAGAGTGAGTAGAGGATTTTTATCTGGTTTGTTTTTTTGTTTATTTTTCTTTTTTGTTTTATTGGAATCACAAAATTAGTTCTTATTGTCTGGTAGAGTGAGTAGGTAATAACTTAGTGTTTGTGGAAAAAAAAAAAGTAAAAAACTCTAGGGTCCTGTGAGTGGGAAGGCTAGCTTCATAAAATAGTCAGAAAGAGCCATCGTTTCAGTGTGTGGGAACAGAAGCTTATGTTGGAATCAGGGTGTTTATTGGGACTGAAGTGATCTTCCATTTGTCTTCTCAGGGAAATGGCACCTTGGGATGAGCTGTCACAGCAAAATTGACTTCTGTCACCACCCTTTACATCATGGCTTCAACTATTTTTATGGGATCTCCTTGACCAATCTGAGAGACTGCAAGCCCGGAGAGGGCAGCGTCTTCACCTGGGGCTTCAGGAAGCTGGTCTTTATCCCTCTGCAGATCATCGGGGTAACCCTGCTTACCCTCGCTGCACTCAGTTGTCTGGGGCTGCTCCGTGTGCCTCTAGGCGTTTTTTTCAGCCTTCTCTTCCTGGCAGCTCTGATCCTGACCCTTTTCTTGGGCTTCCTTCATTACTTCCGGCCCCTAAACTGCTTCATGATGAGGAACTATGAGATCACCCAGCAGCCCATGTCCTATGACAATCTCACCCAGAGGCTAACGGCAGAGGCGGCCCAGTTTATACAGCGGTAGGTGTTGCCTTGTCTTCTGATGCTGCCTGTTGAAAAACATTCTGGGTTATTTCTCATGGAGTTGGAAGAACCAGCAGGGTTATTATTTCTTTAGCCAGAGCTTGATATAGCACACGTTTAGTGGCCTTAGAAACTTATTGCAATGCAGTGTGCTCTCCTTAGAGTCTCTTTGCCAACATTTCCCACATCTTGGGCTAGAAAGGCCACAGCAAAATTATGTCTGCTGATGACAAAGGAGGTGTCAGATATCACACTGGTCTTTTTTTTTTTTTTTAAGATGGAGTCTCACTATGTCACCCAGGCTGGAGTGCAAGTGGCACGATCTCGGCTCACTGCAACCTCTGGCTCCCAGGTTGAAGCAATTCTTCTGCTTCAGCCTCCTGAGTAGCTGGGATTACAGGCACCCACCACCATGCCTGGCTATTTTTTTTTTCTATTTTTAATAGAGACAGCGTTTCACCAACTTGGCCAGGCTGCTTTGAACTCCTGACCTGAGGTTATCCACCTGCCTCAGCCTCCCAAAGTGCTGGGATTACAGGAGTGAGCCACCACGCCCGGTCCTGATGGTCTTTAATCTTCAAATGTGACCATCAAGAGATGCAAGATAATGGTTTATGTTTAATTTAGAGGTTGTCCTTGTGATATAAACGATGTGGAAATATCCAAAATATTTTGGGACAATCTCTGAGCAAACAAAACAAAACAAAAACCTCTGTAAGTAAACTGGGTGAAGTGAATGACGTCTTTTGGGTCTGTCGGGTCCCATTGAGTTTGTAGTTTTGGGGATTGCAGTCTGTAAATGAAATAACCATCACCTGAATTATATAGGTAGGTTTAATAAATATTTATATTATAATACATAATATGGAGAGCATAAATAGATATAATTAAGTAGATATTATATAGAGGCTGTATCAAGAATATTTGCTATTCAAAAAAAGGAAATAAAAGTATTTTGTTCCACTTGTAACTGTGGAGGACAGGATTTTAAAGAGAAATGAAAATCAGACCTTTCATCTGAAGATCAGACCTTTGGTCTTTACGGTGACTTAAACTCTATGGAAGATTTAAAAGAGAGTTTTGGGGTGATTTAAAGATTATAAAGGAGAGAGAGGAAACATACATAGGTAATGTTGGTTTGTCATCCAGTTAATTGCATGACACAAAATTGTAAAGTCAATCTCTGGATTGAACAATGAATGAGAATGAAAAGGAAGTTATTGTGATGAAGGGAAAGTATATTAGGGATTTAATTTAAAAAACAAGCAAATGTACTCAGCCTAAGAAGAAAATACATAGTTAAGGTATGTGGAAACTACATAAGTTAGGGCTGGTGAGAAAGGTAAAAGATGAAAATTACTTTATGAAAATTATGTTGTCATATCCTCATGTGGAAGATGTTGTATTCCACTGTCCATATCTTGTGTGCATGGAATTTGTGCTTTACTGGAGGTTGGGAGTGGGCAGTGGTTCTCCTCACTCTCTTCTTCTTCAGTTATGAAACAGTGTAGGAGCAACCCATTCACCCGGAGGTACAACAGTGTCCTGGTACCCACAGCATCATTGATTATGCAATAGATAAATGATAGGGTGTGTTTTAGTATACCTCTCTGGTATTACACAAGTGTTTCATCAACTCTAACAGAAACCCACATATGGTTTGGGTGTCTGAACAGACTCTGAAGTGACTTACACAAAAATTGCAATTGATAGTATTACTTCCTCCCTCTAAAAATGAGACAAAAGTAGAATGATTAGTTCTTACAGTTCACATCACCTATCAGTTTCAATAAATTTTATTAATTAAAATTCTCATTTAACTGTGAAATATATAAACTGGTCATTGGTCATTATAACTATTATCAGTTTTAGCCTCAGGGACTTGGCTCCGGAGAGTACTCTATGTACTAGCTGCCCAACTGCTGAGAGAGCACCACACAATGTAAGTTTTTATTTTGGTTAGCATCCCACATCTGTGGCTAGTTTCTGTGTTTGTCCGTGAAGACTGAGAAAATCTCAGTGGATTAACACTTGAAAGTTTGTTTCTTGGCCATGCAAAATCTATTGCTGGTTGGGTGATTCTCTAGGGAAGCCTTGCTCCATGAGGAGACTCAGGGATTCAGGTTGCTAATATCTTGTGGCTCTGTCATCTCAATAGATGGCCTTCCCAATGGCATCCACAGGAGAAAAGAGTTGAAGGGTCACTTGGGGGCTTTTCCTTACTTCACTGTGGAAGGAATGCTTATCACTTCCACCCAGGGGTCAGCACGTAGGACAGGTTCTATGTCTACGTCTCCACCCTGACTTGACATGGTGCTAAGAGGCAGTCTCCCCATATGTTCAGGAAGAAGAAAACGAAACTGGCCTTACTGAACACATAGCAGTGATTTTCCCACAGCAAGCAGTGATTTTCAAATTTGTTTTAAAGCTGAGGAATATTTCAGGTGAAATTTTATAAGAAGCTAAGTGTGTCAGAGGCATAAAAGTTGCAGTACTTGGGTTAACCTGGAACAGAGGACTGCATTTGGAAACTGCTGACATTTAATAAAGCCCCGTGGAAAGCTCATGAACAGCTGGAGAGAAAGGGCAGACTATGCAACAAAAGAATGAAAGAACATGTGAGCAAACATCTACTTAGTGCAGACTCCAGGCAAATTAATATTTAACAGGCATTTGTAAGCACAAAAGGTAGGCACACAAGAATAAAAATCAACACGAGCCTTGGAATTTTAAAAAAGAATTATTTGATATTACAGCTATGTGAGTAGAGGTGGAAGGAATTTGCACAAATTTATAGATAAGTGTAAACTAAAGGAACTAATTTATTATAAAATTTGGATTGCAGACATGCTCCACATAATGACATTTTGGTCAACAATGGACCGCATATATGACAGTGGTCCCATGACATTATGATGGAGCCGCCCTATACAGGCGTATGTTTGTATCTTTTTTTTTTGAGACTGAGTCTCCCTCTATTGCCCAGGCTAGAGTACAGTGGCGTGATCTCAGCTCACTGCAGTCTCCACCTCCCGGGTTCAAGCAATTTTCCTGCCTCAGCCTCCCAAGTAGCTTGGATTACAGGTGCCCACCACCATGCCCAGCTAATTTTTGTATTTTCAGTAGAGGCAGGGTTTCAACATGTTGGCCAGACTGGTCTCCAACTCCTGACCTCAAATGACCCACCTGACTTGGCCTCCCGAAGTGCTGGGATTACAGGTGTGAGCCACTGCACCTGGCTACGTTTGTATCTTTTCTACTGTATGTATCCTGTACTTTTTTTTATGTGTACATATGTCTAGATACACAAATACTTGCCATTGCATTGCAGTTGCCTACAGTACTCAGTATAGTCACATGCTGTGCAGGTTTGTAGCCTAGCAGTAATAGGCTCTACCATATAGCTTGGGTGTGTAGCAGGCTGCAGCATCTAGGCTTGTGTAAGTGTACTCTATGATGTTTGAACAATGATGAAATTGCTTAATGATACATTTCTCAGAACATATCCCCATCACTATATCATGCATGTCTGTACTTGAAGTATTGATGTGAAGTATACTGTTCATTGGTATTTTAATATTTTCATTAGAGAAAAGTAAACTAGAAAAATATATACGTTGGTGTTGTATATGTATGTGTATGTATATATATATATATATGTATGTGTAAAGTAAATACATATGTGTGTATGTGTTTGTGTATATATATGTGTGTGTGTGTGTGTGTGTGTACTTTACACACATGTATTTAATTTACAGAGATAAATTATTGAAATTGATTTCCAAGGGAAGCTATAGGAGATATACATGTATAGCAGCAGCAAGTATTAATGCAAAGAATAAATAATTTTCTGCCTGGGGATGGATCATAGCCACTAAAAGTCCTTTAAGCAACTATTTATATGTCTGTCAGAATTCAGGTAAGATGTGAGCTATTTGTCATGATTTTTGCAGGTTTGGGCTGACAGGCACATGCTGTCCTGGGTAAACATTGGGGTCTGGGTAACCATAGCTCCATCGTGTCATGCCCATGCTGACAGCTTGTCTTACCCAGGGACTAGAGACTGCAGAAACCTATCGGTCTGCTCACAGCAAAATGGCATGGGTGAAGGATGTCATGCAATTCCTAAGAGGTAGAAAGACTTCAAGCTGTCAGTCAGACTCCTGAACATTTATTTCAAGTATTATTTGCACAGATATACTGCAGAGTTATCAGTTCCTGTGGTCAGCCCACACAGCCAAATGCAGGCATTGTGGGGCCGGCCACCTGCCTCCTGGGCATGATGTTTGGTTCAGAAGTGTGCATTGTAGGGTGGCCTTTGCTAGCCTAGTGTATGGTGGGATATAATATAGGATCATTATGACTTCCTGCAGGTAGACAAAAAAGGCAAAAGGGAGAGAGTCCAGGACTACATGGGTAGACAGGTAATACCTCAGACTTTGCATAAAACCCCAGAGGTGCTTATTACAGCTGAAGATGGCCAAGATGAACTCTAGGGACTGTCACAGAGTAGTTCTGAAGTGAGACTTTGCATCTCAAGACATTATAAACTGGGTTTTTCGTGGGACACGCTAAGAAACACTGGGTTTCGTATACGTGTATGAGCTTTGGCTACTGTGCGGAAACACTGCAATTATTTGTCATCTAGATTTTTCTAGAATGTGATGCCAACAGGTGATCTCATGTAAAAGCTTTGGAACTTTATAAGATACATCATCCAGTTAATATCATCATCTAGTAAGATGTACACAGATATGTGATTGAAACAAAAGCTTACTGAAATGACCTTTCTCCTACTAGAGTGATTGCTTCTGATATTTTCTACCCCATTTTATTCTTGGTTTTTTTTTAATTTTTTTTTTATTTAATGATCTGGTTGTGGAACTAAGTTAATTTCATGATGTATCAATGGGTCACAGTGTACATGATTGACCATGCTCTTACCTAGTGTGCTAGCTTTACTGTGTTTGATAAACAGAAGCACAGCCATTCCAAGA